AGTGGGTAAATTTCGCTGCTCTTTTATTTCTTTCCTGCGAGGTTGAGCGGAATTTCGACGTACGATTGTGTGTGAGAAATAAAGTACCGGGGCACACCTGGTTGTGTTGTTTTCCTTCACCGTTAAAAGTGGCAAGTCTACGCGACGGAGAGAGAACCTGTCTGTCCCCGCACATCGGAATTATCTCACGAACCGGTTCAGAAACACCATATTTTCCACACGCACCGGAAGCAAACAGCAAGCCGCTCTCTTTTCTGGCAGATTCCACGGGGTGGAGCGTGGGCGCGTGGAGCCGCCCGGCCCCGCCAAAAACCCAGCCTCATGTTGACACCATGCCATGCAAAGAGCCGGTCTACCGACCGACGGTGCTTGCGTGCTCCTTCCTCGGGCAGAAGGGGATCGTGAAGCTTAGCGCACGGACAGCATCGAGGTGCTCTGCTCAGATTTCGTCCATGAAACGGGACGGATGCAGCAGAGTGTAAACGGAGAAAGCAAAGAGGGGGACCGAGTCCCCGTTTCATGCGTGATAATTCGTTACCACAGGTAGGTGCGTGTCTCCACTCGAAGTGCTCTCGAAGAGGAAATATGCGAGACAGGAAATATAACAACAACACCGAACGCCACTACGCGACAACGAAACCAAAAAAATATCGAGAAGCACGACGGCTTACATGTAGTAGCTCGCCGCTGACCCCCCGCCAGTCACCTGCTCTTGCTCCGCTGAAGAACAACCGACCCCACCCCGTGCCTCACGCTGCAGACCGAACGCTTGCCGTACGTATATACCGAGCGCTTGCCGTACGTACACATGCATACGAAACAACGACACCCGAAAAAATGATTTCATTACAATATTCAATCAACTGTAGTAACAAGAATCTGAACAACGTTGTTTGCGTTTTTTTCGTTCACCAGTGGCTTGTTTTTTTATGCCAACAGACCGAACGACGCACACGCCGCTCAATCCTTCCACGCGGCAGACACGAGCGCAAAACATATAGAAAATAGGTCCTTATTCAAGTTTGTCTCCAGAACCATATCTTTCACGAAGCCGAGACCTACGAAAGAGAGCCGACGACAACACCTTTTTCATGCCCGACTCGAAACAAAAACAAAACTCCGGTTTTAAATACGGAAGTAGGGAGAGATCCTCCCCACGATGCAACAGCCGTTATCATACACCATCCTCCCATCGTCCGTCCCCTCGTTAAATCAAGAGCCAAATAAAAACATAGACGACGCTTCCTTGCCGCAGTTTCTTGCACAATGCATTTCAACATATTCATACACGAATTGAAACATTTGCTCCTCGCAACCCTGCCCATAAAAAATTCACAGTCAAAGGCCTCCGACATGTGGTGCGTTATACGCAACTCCGTCTCCTCCTTTACCCCCGTTCGTGGCGTCGGAATAGTTCCCATTTCAGCACGAACGAACCCCGACTAGCCACGCTTATCAACCCCCTCTCTCTCTCCTCCCCTCTTGCTTGCTCCAAGTATCTAACGGTCCACGGCGGCT